GGGGGGGGGGGGGGGTGTCTTCCACAACACTCACACAACCAGGGCTGTGGCCTGCACCAGGGAAGTGGCAGTAAGAACAGATTTGAGTCCTTTTTAGGACATACAATAGACGGGACGTGGCTGCTGAAACACGGTGACTAGCCGGGAGTGCGTGGTGGGAAACCGGGAGGAGCTGAGGGTGACTCCACTTTCTGGCTTAAGTAGCTGGTGAATGGTGGTGCTCAGGACAAGGCAGAGCAAGTTTCAGGATGTGGGAGGAATGATGAGCTTCAGGCTTAGAGGAATAGAGCTTGCGGTGCCTGTTGGCCCTCCGGAGGAAATGTCCAGAAGGCAACGGGGTTCTGGGAGTAGAGAGCTAGATCCAGAAGCCATCTGTGGCTCAGCATGGGTGACTGAGGCATGAGAGTGCACAGTCTTCCAGGCTGTGTGTGTGAAAGGGGGGGGAGGGAGCAGGGGGAAGGAGGGAAGCTGTGAGGGGCCAGGACACAGCCCCAACACATAAGGGTCTTTCATCAAAGAGGAATCAGGATGGAGCAGGAGGAAGAAACCCCAGAAGAGGGGATGTTCCAGAAACCCAGAAAGGAGAGATCCAAGAAGACATGGGCAGGGAAGTCACTGTTGTGAACCCCCTCCAGCCAGTGACTCACAAGAGCATCCCAGCCTCTCCCATCAGTTCCCATGTCCCAGGTCCTGTCTCTGTCACCCGAGCATCACCCTCACTTCCCTAAAAACCTGGGGAAGGACAAGGATTCCCTGGCCCATGCTTTGGGGGTGGCAGGGGAGCGGGATAAGCAGGAAGGACATCAGGAGACCAACAGGAGGAAAACACATCTCCCAGGTCAAAGTCCCAAGCTTTAGAGCAAAACAAGTTGTTCCGGAAAGGGGGTGTGGGTGGACACTGGCTTTGAGGCTGGTCTCTGCTCTCTGGGTGTCCTCATCCAGCTGAGAGGGTCATCTCCCTAGCTGTATGGACACAGCTCTGGGTCCTCATGACAACAGGTTGGGCCCCCTTAGTGGCCTGGCTTGGAGCCAAGATCTGGATTCTGGCCTCAGCAGCCCCACCGGGCTGGACCCTGTGTCATCTCTGAGCTGCTATTACATCAATGCTCAGTTCCTTCCTCCTGTTCCCAGCCCAGCTCTGCCATCCAGGATCATCAGGCTCCCTTAGGCAGCCCTCCACCCAGCTAAACCTGTGTGCTTACCCTTCAGAAAAGCCCAAGTGGGCCTAGACTGTTCCCTGGAGTCACCTTTCTCCTCTCCCTGCCACATCCTGCCTGCCATTCCAGTCACTGCCAGCAGGTGGCAGAGTCCAGCCCCAATCCCCCGCTGGTTGGGGAGCTCAGAGAGGGGCCAATTCACAGCTGAAGATTCTGCAACTTCCCCTCCCTCCAGCCCCTCACTTCCATCGCCTTCCAGGGGTGCTTTGGAGGAAAGGAGAGTGGACAGTTGGCAATGCTGAGAACAGTGCGCATGGCATTCTCAGGGCTGTGTTGTGGGGAATCACAGAGGACACAATTTTTCATGAAGGCATCCTGGAGGGAGGTGGTGTTAGGAAAATAGTTAGCGGAATTGTTGGACTGAGCAGAAAGACAGCTCCAGGAGGGCATCCAGGCAGAGAGCATTTGGAAACATCACTCTGGCCCTGACCGGTGTGGCTCAGTTGGTTGAGCGTTGTCCCTTGCACCAAAAGGTCACTGGTTTGATTCCAAGTCAGGGCGCATGCCCAGGTTTCGGGTTCAATCCCAGGTTGGGGTGCATGTGGGAGCCAACCAATTAATGTTTTTCTCTCACATTGATGTTTCTCTCTCTCTCTCTACCTCTGCCTTGCTCTCTCTAAAATAAATAAAAATATTAAAAAATAAAAATAAAAACATCACTCTGTGAAGGGGTCCATAGGCTTCCCCAGACTGTCCAAAGGACAAAAATGGTTAAGAAGTTCTGACCCACCTGGGAGCCTGGGGCAGGTTGGCTCAAAGCAATGCCACTGATCTCAAGGTCAGACCTGGAGAAAGACTGGTAATCTCTAGACAGAAGTTTTCTGGGACTGAGAGTTGGGAGCTATGGTCGGATTGAATGGGTGCTCACCCCCGCAGAGAGCCCTGTGCCTGGGAGCTAGGAGGGGCAGAGAGCACCCCTCAGAGCCAGCCAGCCAAGTCAAGGAATGTCCTGGCTGCGACTTCTGGGTCCTAGGCAACTCCAGTGGGCCAGTGAGATTTATGGCCAGGACCACCCAATGGGGGAAGATCAATCACCTCCTCCTTCTGTCCACTCAGCCAAGAAACTAAAGGGCTGCCCTGTGCCAGGAGCCCTGCCAGAGGTCCCAAAGCCAAATCTTTACCCAGTGGTTCCAGCACAGCCCTCTGTCCTGCCCAAGGCTACAGGCCAGCAGTGGAACCAAGCTGAAGTGCTGGTTTCTAGAATCACAGTCTCTCCTGGCCTAACGGCTCATCCTGAGTAGTGTGATCTTTTCCTTCACTTTCAGCTGGGGAAACTGTGACCCACAAAGAGACAGTCACCAACTGAAGGTCATACGGTAAATTAGGAGGAGAGATAGGGCTAAACCCCAGGCATCCTTATGTCTAGCCCAGGGCTCAGTCCCTCTGTCAAGCACCTACTGGTTGGTCAGTTTCCCAAACAGCATTCCGGCCTGCTTTCACTTACTCACTCAACACATATTTAGTGTCTACCACGGGACTGGAAACACAGGAGTGAGCAAGACAGAGCTTACATTGTACAGTTATCTAATTACAGTTGCACCAAATGTTCCAAAGGAGTTAAAAGGGTGCTAAAAGTATATAAATGGAGATGCCTTCTAGTGTAGGAAATCAAAAAAAG